ACTGTGCACCTCACTGCAAAAGAAACACAAAACCATTAGCTATCCTATACACAGCATTACACTGGTGTTCCACTGCATGTACCCCAAGCAAACTTTAGCAAGCAGTGTCAGCCCACAGAGCAGATTTGATAGCTCCACAGCGCAAAAAAAACAACAACTCAAGTCTCCCTCAGCAAGACTCCTTCCTAAAGGGCTTATTCTTGAGACTTGGAGTATTTCAGACAAACATAGCAAAAAGATCCTGAGGGTTGGGATACAACCTCTTGTGGGTCCTCAATATGGGGCTCTCTTTTGAGGCAGTCATCCTCCTTACTAAAACTACTGTTCTCTGTAGGCAATTTGAGAACTGCTTCTTCATTGTATCTTGTGCGGCTGTGTGGTCTGTGCAAAGGGGTTAACTCCCTGCTTGCTGAAAATAAGTAGACCTTTTGTTGCACACAAAACTGTTGCATGCAGTTCAATATACTCCTGGTTCTTTTCCAGTTGCCTGCTCCTAAATGTATCACTGTGAATGACTGTCTTGCTAAGCTTTCTGATTTAAAGAACTATACCCCCACACCTCCCAGTTCTTTTAGGTATAACTAGATTTTAATCAATGAAGCAATAGGGATTTTTAAACCATAATGTAACAGAAGCCTGCCCAAGAGACCAGGAGGCTAGGAGCAATGTGAGGACTCTAGTTTATTGATCCTTGAAACACACACACCCATTTATGGCTATGTTAGTGACTGTCTAAGACTGGGGCTACATTGCAAACTGATCCCTCTTGTGCATTGACAGTACACGAATGGACAGGCGAGTACCTAACAAGATTTCTTTTAGCCCTGCAGGATTCCTGAATCAGGTAGGATGCTTGGTCTGATTTTCAAAGGTGCCAAGCACGTCCATTTCCTCTGGAGTTCAACACAATTTATAGCAGCTCAGTGCTTGCTCATCTTAATCAAGCCTCAAGAGCTGAATTCAGGGAGCTTTTGGATGCAAAATAAGCTCTTAAGCACAATACAATTTACATTAATGAGGAAGTTTGTCTAAGATTTTAGCCCACAGGCCTGATTGATCTTAAGTGTTTTGCCATGTGCTGTTTAAATTTTCAATTAACCCCAGTTTGGCAGCTTTTATTGAAACGGATCCTTTCAAGGGCTGTGCGTCCATTGTGGGGGTAAGGAACAATCATTAGCTGCTATGTCATCCTTACTTTCCTTTCCCACAAGAACCAGGAGACCCAAACCACTGGCATCTCAGAGTCACTACACGGCTGGCACCTTTGGGGACAAGACTCAAGGAGAGAGAGGCAGATCCACCCATTCTGGGTGCCAGAGACTCACCCTGACCAGCTGAAATTCCCTTGTATTTTTTTTTTTTTAAATTACTGCCACTGGCTTTCATCTTTCTGATCCTTGGTTTGAACCTTTGCCTTTCCCCCTCCTTTACTTTGCTATACCCATCACCTACCCTTCATTCATTTTCATCTCCCTGTTCCTCCCACCTTCCCTATTCATCCCATCAGTTCCACACAACACCCCTGCTCCTCAGCAGTTTTTGAAAACTATCTGGAACCATCAAATTCAACACATTGCTTTCCTATGTAGCCCTATGAGCTATTCACCATTTCCTTTATCCTACCCCCATCCATCCCTCCAGGGTACATTATCATACAGCACCCAGAACAATACAGGCCTGATCCCCCACTGGGGCCCGCAGGCATTACCATGACACCAATCAAGGTGATAAAATAGCACAACCAATCCTCGTCATAGCTTGAACTGCTGAATCACACTTTTGAAGCTGAGACAACACATTCCAGTGCAGGGGTTCTCAACCTTTTTCTTTTTGAGTCCCCCCCGCAACCCCCAGCATGCTGTAAAAACTCCACAGCCCACCTGTGCCACAACAACTGTTTTTCTGCATATAAAAGCCAGGGCCGGGGTTGGGGGCCCTGTGAAGCTAAATTGCTCAAGTTCTGGCTTCAGCCCTGGGTGGCGGAGCTTGGAACCCTAGGCTTCAGCCCCAGGCAGTGGGGCTTTGGCTTTCTGCCCAGGGCCCCAGCAAGTTGAATGCGAGCCCTGCTTGATGGACCCCCTGAAACCTGCTCGTGGCCTGCCCCCGAGGGGCCCCTGGACCCCTGGTTGAGAACCAGCGTTCTAGTGCAGAGTCAACAAACTCACGGTCCATTCCCTGCTCCCCTGATGATGAATTGTGGGACCTTGGGAAAGCTATTTATGGCTTATTTTCAAAGCTTATGGAGCTTTAGGGCACTATCCATCTTTGAAATGTGTGTGTAAAAAGCATCTAGTGGAACAAGACCTCAATCCCACTGGAGAATTATCTGTAAAAGTAAGTGTTGGGGATAAAAACCAGATGGTTAAATCCTCACAGAGAAGAGCACTGTTTAAAGGGAAACATACTTAGGCCCTGAAACTCTCCCTTCCAACTTTTTGTTTCGGTTTTTAGAAGTGAAAGTCACCCCTTGAGTTTTATATTTTTGCATGCAGAGTTTGAGACACTCCATATCTTCCAGTAAATGATCCTTGTCATACCCCATGCCAGTCAGACTGTGCAAACTTCCTCCCCACTTCACCACTAACCTCAACCCACATCCGGAGGGAGTCCTCTACCTAAGCATGCTTTTGTGCTCACTCAGTTCTCGGCATCTCAGCAGGAAGTACAAACTCTGCCATAATCATTCGGGTAATCGTCCTGATAACCATTATCAGGTCAATGAGTGCAACAAGTTTGTACTAGCATTCCAGACATCAGAAGCAAGCGATTAAGCCACTTGCTGCTGTGGAGGGATATTATCTTATGTATTCATTTAGCTAGCAATCAGAAAAATACCACAATTGAAGGCACATTTCTCCTTCAGGTGGTGAAATGCCCAGTTTCATGTCATGTGCTACTCCATTTTTTTAAAGCTATTTGTTCTTACTCAAAGGTTCAGTTTAAGCCTTCATTACAATTCCATTTCAAAGTGGCAATCATCCACCCAACTATGGTGTAGTTTTTAACTAACCCTCCCAGCAATCAAAATACAGCTATGCCTTCACAAGCAGAGGCATGGCTGCAACATAATCATCTACAACAGATACTGGTAAAACTAGACTCGCACTGTAAAATCAAGGTCAGCACTGACAAGTCTAACACAAAACCCCCAGATCAGAATGGTCAAGCTCTCTTAATCTGTGCTTGGGCCTGTCTCAGGCAGGAATTTGAGAGGAATTACAAATCATGAGTCAAATTAATAAATAGATTAAGGACAGAAGAGACCATTACAATCATCTAGTCGGACAACCTCCAAAACACAGGCCCATCAAGCCCCTCTCTCGTGGTTGAGCAAGAGTACATCTTTTAGAAAGACAGGCAACTTCTGCCTCTGTGTGCGCTTGAATTCCCTGGAACCCTCCTACACCCTGATGCTATACTGCAGGAGGCTTAATTTGGCCTGAGAGGAATAAACAGGATGGTCATCAAGCTAAGATCTGGGCTAGGACTCAGAAGCTATGGGTTCTAGTCTCTGCTCTGCTCCAGACTTCCTTTCCGACCACAGGTAAATCATTAGTCTCTGTGTTTCAGATTTCCATCTGTGAAATGGGGATAATGCCTCCCAGGGGGTTGTGATAATAAAGTTATTCATAAATATGAAGTGCTCAGATAGATACCATGTTGGTGCTACGTAGATTATCTGCAATATACAAAAAGGCACAATTGCTTGTGCTGGAGATATGAGAAACTTTGTTTTTATGAATTTAAGTGCCGAAAGGATTTTTGCATGAGGATTTAGCCTAACTTCTCCTTAAATCATTCCCCCATTTCCTTTAAACTCCTTGTAAGTTGTACAGCTAAAAAGCTGTGTTTAAGTCTGGAAACAAGGGTAAAATGCTACTAACAAGCTGGGCTTTTTACATATAAAGAAAACCGGTTATTGAAATTGTATTAGCTTTAGAAGGTAAGATCTCCTCAATAACACTTACAGTGATCGGTTATAAAACTTGAGTCCCAATTCTGGAAGTGTTCACTCATGCAAGTAGACCCACTTGTAAAAGTTTATAGGATCGGGCCCATAACATACAGAAACAGCCGGTCCCCCACTCATTGCAACCATTAATCAATTCCTTTTCCAAAGAAGTAGCGTGCTTTAGGTCAGCACACACTAAGTAGCTCTGAAAATTTAGCAGAACATTCAGATTGCATCAGGTCAGCGTGGTCTTTGGGAAGCCCTTTGCTGTACATCTGATCTATGTTCTAAAAACTGATTGAAACATTATGCTTACTACGCTTGCCAAGCTGCTGCTTTTCTGGAGTAGCCAGTGTTTTAAATGCAGCACACATTGTAGCAGTTAGCTATATAGCGATGTCCTATCAGTCCTGCAGTGTAAAATACTTTACATCTCTGTAGCTCTAAGATATAGGGAGCTTTAAGAGCTCTACCGACATTAATTATGCCTCACAACAGCCTCTGAAGATAGATATTTGATATATTTGGAAATTTCTATCATACAGCAAGCTGTGCTTACAAGATTGAACATTGGCCATGATACAGAACCATCCCCAATATTTTTTCCTGCTCACTGATTGGGGAATCTCTTCATCCACCAATGAAGTGCAGCAACTTCTGGGATGGAGCTTAACCCTCTCGAACAGCATATACGATCATGCTACAACAGTTTAAAACAGGAAGTGAAAACATAACAAGTGTTTAGGTAAGCAGAACATAACTGCCAGAACTTGGTCAGAGAACAAAACCAGAATGATCTGAAACTTAAAAACCAAAAAGAAAAACCACCCACAGATCTGTTTGCCCTCCCCCTTTTTTTTTTAAACTAAAAGGCAAAAGTTCTCTCTCTTGAAAAGTTATAAGGGGGAAAAAGATTCCAATATTGAGACTTGCATCAAGTTTCATAACACATTTATACTCACCATGGCAGGTGATTTATAATGGTCATGTTAGAAGCGAGAGCAGGCACTGTTTTATATAGGATAATAAAGTTTTCATCAACGAGAGGTTCATATAAATGCCACTTTTAATCATGAACAAGTTTGCTTTCAAGTAAAACTAATCTTGTTTTAAATAAAATATAAATTAACAGGTAAGAAGTTATACCAGGAAAGAACAAAAATAAAGACAATGTGCACATGTGTCTGTTCCACTAGAACTAACTGAAGTCTGTGCATTGTCCAGTCCTTTCAAGCTTATGAGAATTTCAGGGAGATCTCTGGACCATCATGAAACACTGTCGAATGAAGGATTAAAAAGAAGTCACTTTTGCCACCATAAAACTATGCTTCCGAGACATCAAGGCGAAACCTGTAATGACTAAACGAAGCAATGATTTTAGTTGTGTTTTGCATAAACACAGCAGTAGCCACAATAGATGTTTCTCTTCCGTTGCAGTATTTCAACACTTTAAGATGTCAGTTTTTCACATTTTAACAGGTCTGTTTTTTACTGCTTCTAAAAAATCCCGCACTTCCTTTTTCTTGATTTATGAGGCTGAGAGTTTAGAAGTTGAGTGATATCAACCATGGACTTGAACAAAAATATGCATAGCTATATCCACTCATCCTAGCTAGTAAGTGATATTTCACAATTTTACTGAAGGAAGAGAAATCAATCATTCTGTAACCATAGGCTGCCTCCATTTATTCATTTACTGGCATCAAGTCTCGACTTCCCCTCCCCTTTAACATGAAAGTGCATTAACTTTTTTAAATTAATTTTAAAAACCATTTTTGGCAGACATTCTCTAGTCCACTTGGTGTAGTCTGACCTCAATTTCCCATAATCTAAGTTGTTTCCAAAGCTCTTGCCGAGTTCAATACTGCTGGGAGAGGTTTCCTCATAGGATTTTTTGGGGGGAGGGGAGGACAGACAAAAAGGAGAAACCCTGAGGTAAAAAAATGGCTTGTACTTTAAAAAGTCTAATAAAGAGGCTCTTTATCCTAGTGTTTCATAAGGCTCCTGGAATCTTCTGTGGTGGGAGGCCTTCCTCAATCCAGAGGGAAGCGGATGAGCCATTGCGCAGCATTCTCCGGTGAATCCGTCTCAGCCTCAGCAGATACAGCACAATGGACAGCAGCACAATCAGAAAACAGACGAAGAACAAATAGTGATTGTAAACAAAGGAGAAGCCCCTCCAGTGGGAGTGATTTCCTCTGAAGTTCTCTTGCTGGATGTCTCTGAGAAACAAAGGGGGAAACACGTACAAAATAGGAAACAAGACTTCAATCCTTCAACGAGGCAAAAAAATTGCCTTTTATCATCTTACCACAAAAGCTGGAAGCACGTACACTAAACACAACTCAGCAAAGATTACTACAGTTGAGCTATCTGGCTGACTTGCTGGCATTTGTGTTTATCCGCAGAGATATTTACTAGACACGCTTTGGTTTAAAATAAGCACCCAAGCCCTACATACAAGTGTTTTGTATGCTAAACTTGAAGCAATGTTTCTTCTGCTCCTGTTCGCCACCTGCTTTCATATCAAGCCACCCCACCATCCAAGCCTTGCACCTAACCATTTGTAAAAACAAGCAGTACCTTAAAGGTAAAAATCGTGTTCGGTAAAGGATGGCTCCCAATGTCCATTGCACTTCCTTATCATAAACCTGCAGAGCAGTTTTTAAATTGTTGTAGTTGATGGGAAAAGAGAAACCACTGTGGAACACTTCATACATCCAGGCAGACTTAAAGCACTGATACCTACAGAACAAGCAGAATAAAGGCTGGTTATGCCATTTGATTTTTCATTTTTTAATACTACTTATAAGGTGCCATCAGGTCACACAGTACTTAGATATACAAGATTCAGATCCCTGCTCTGAGGGGTTTATAATCCACTGTAAAGACAAGAATAGAGACAGCCCCAGGCCCAACGGTCTTGCACATTAAGACAGGCACAGAGAAGACCTAGTGTATATATAGGTGACAGAGGGTTAAATGAGCTCTTATTATTTAAGCCCACTCTTCTCCTCCGATCCAATACTGATGTGGGTTAGCTGTTCTGGGCCTCACGGGAACTGGGGGGTTTGGTCCCCCCCTTTTATGAAGGGATGGCACCAAGCACAATGAGACTAGAAAGCAACACGGAAGCCATGATTCCTAGTCACCTGCTCCAATCATGAAACTACACCGCAAGATAACACTGGTCCTGCCAATCAGTGACATACCGAGATACCGCCGATTCCATTAAAAGTTTTATAAACCACAATAAAAATGCATTGCAAGATTGTTCCCTATACTCCAAGAGTTGCATTACTGTATCGCTAAAGAGCAACATGGTTTATGATCAATCTTTTTTATAGCGGATGCAATTCTTAAGCTTCACTCAACCTGATCACAATGGGTCCCTTCTGGCCTGGGAATCTATAAAACTCATTCAGATTTCCAATGCTTTTTTAAAAATGAGAGAGACCCACCTTGTCTCTCTAATATCCTGGGACTAACACAGCTACACCTATGCAGCATATAACAATGTTTTAAAATAAGTCATTTGGGCACGATGCTTCTCTTCTGGTAACTCTGCATGAATGATTTCTGCTGTACAAACATGAATACTCACTTCAATCGATGAAGATCAGCATGTGATGCATAAAGACCATGGTCAAAACGTTCCTGCAGGACAGACCACTTAGTGGCACAATAATCCTTAACAAAACAAGCAAACAAAAAAGGCTCTGTTTACATATTGAATTAAGCAAAATATACTATGCCAATGGATAAACAGCTTTATAAAGCATGAAATGTAATTTAAAAATAAAAGTCAAGGGAAGCCTGGCAAAAAGTTAGTGGGTCACAGTTGGTTTGTGTTCTGGTCCCTTTTTATATGATTTTAAGTACATACGCTGTGTGACAGATAAAAACTAAAGAGACTGTAGTTACATTTTTAAAGTGTAAGAGTTCTGCCTGAGTTTTCTGGAGTTCAGCTCTCAAGTTCTGGGATGGATCTTGCTCACCCTAGAATTCCTCTACTATTATGTAGTAGTGAATCGTTCTCATGAGAAAACCCTGATGAGGCCAGAAAATGAGCTACTGTAAGTTATATACGTAAAAGGAGCTTAGATTCCAAAGGAAAAGCTTCATTGCCCCAGTTTCAGAAGTAGCCGCTGTTTTGGATTACTAGGAAGATTATACCTCAAGAATGCTTTACCTTTGCAGCTTTAATAAATTTAGCAGCATTGTAGTCTCCTCCCATACGCAATACATCTTCGGTACAGTAGAAGAACTCAGAGAAGCCATAAAACTCGCTGTTCTGGAAGTGCACTGCAGGCTGATAGATGCCGTTTAAAGAAGTCTGGGTTTCATTGGTCTTATTCATGAGAGGCTGAATAATTTCACGACACAGATTAAAATCTCCAGTCCCTCGCATATACAGTGTCTGTCCATTCTGTCGGATTTCATCCTCAATCTCTAGCGGCAGGCAAGGGTCCAGGTAGGGAGACTCAGAAGTCATACCAGTCTGTTTACCCAGAAGTCTGTCACAAGATTAAGCACAGTTGAAACAATCATAGGTATAGCATGCTCAGAATCCTATTTTGGACAAAAATGCATCATCAAAACAGACAGAAAGAAGACCAAGTCATTCTGACTTGAGCAAATTTTGGCACCTACTTTTACATCATAAAAGAGTACATTAAGTCAGGCACACTACGCTAAATCTACCAGAGTTACAAGCCATTTGGCCTGGAGACAGAGAGAACAAAAATCCAAGCAACTGCAGATTTTTTTGTTAAGGTTTTACACTAACTCCATGAAGTGCATCTAAAAAACGTCATGGTGCAGAGCAGGCTTTATTCACAATCCCGAAGCTACCAGAAATAACAGCTGCATCTCTTCTCCAGTTACAGCTTGGCTAACAGATGCAAAAGTATTTAATTAGCATAATTAAAGAAACGTTTAATAAAAACAGTAACTGGAAGTTGGTACTAAAAAGAGCGTATAGGTGCCGCTAAAATGGCTTCTAAGGCCCAGTCTACACTGCCTCGCATTTTGGATCAAGGAGGTGTCAACAGCAAGGTGCTGTACTGTAACTCCCCCCTGTGGACACTGCGCACACAATCTAAAATAAGCAAATTTAATAACTTAGTGCAACTTGATAACTTAATTGGTTAATAACAGTAAAAGCATCCTGACTGGTTAATAATTAAGTCACACAGTGTTTTAATATCATGTGCTGCAAAGAGCCACAGGAGACGCATTAAAAAGCTACTTGTGGCTCACAAGCTTCAGTCTGAGTATTACTGCTCCAGATTGAGGCAGTGCGGGACCTGGAGGAGATTTCTGTTTTGAGGGTGAGTCAGAGAATTTTCCCCCAGCCCCCAAAAAGAAAACAATTATTCTATTTATCCAGTCAGACATCTGGCACCTGCAGTTAGCTACACAGCTAGAACAGACTGCTTGGCTCAGTGAAGTGTGAGCACCTCACATGGGCTAATTCAAATAATTCAAAATGCTCCCAGACCCTCCTGTGGCTGACGGAATAATTCCTCCACCAGCAATCTCAATGGTAATTTACAGCACTTGTATAAAAATTGACTGTTTCCTAGAATGGAGCTTCCAAATAATTTGCTAGAATGGCAGGTCTTGGGAACACCAAACACTTTGGATCGTGAAAGCAGGCTTAGGTGGTTCTCCCAGTCCACCCTTTCTTCCCTGGAGCTGGACAGTTCCGCAGCACTGACAGTAAAGCCAGGCAGCAGCATTAAAGCACTTGAGTCCTGCTTAGCTGCCATGCTCTGAACATCATACATCTGCAATTTGTGGGGACACAAACCTATTTCAGTCCATCAAGGTTCCAGCATATTCAAGTTAGGGAATGAGTAGCAATAGTATTTAAAGAGGGACAGTATACTGCTCAACAATTTTAGATGTGTCCATTTGCGGGGGTCTACATTTTGCTTGGGTTTTCAGGACAGTTTAAGTATTTATAATATGCAATCAGCCACACAGCAAATTACCTGTTTCTAAACATTGTGTTGGTAAATATACTGTCCTCGTATCTCTGCCGTGCTGCATTCCCACCAAATCCAAGGAACGTCGCTACATACACTCTGTACACGTGCTCGGTCTGATGAGCATCACAGCCCAAATTGAACTCTGCAAGTAAGTTTTTGGCTACTTCCTCCTGCAGGCACCCAAGTGACAGGAGATTAGAGAGACTTTTGCAATATAAAGCAAAGCTAGTCACTACAAGCCTGTGAACACCAGAGTGCTACAGGCACTGAAGTGTCATTTCAGATCGGGTTCTCACAGCTTCTCAGAGACTCTACATTCAGCCACTCTCACTCAGATCTCCTCAGACATGTCCCAATATTGCTTGTCAAAATTTCTGAAGCACTACAGATAAAACACCAGTTCAAAAGACACTTCAGGCTGGCCTCCACTATGGGGAGATCGATGCTGCTGCAATTGATGTAGCAGGGATCAATTTAGCGGATCTAGTGAAGACCCACTAAATCAATGGCACAGCGCTCTCCAGCTCTCTGAGAAGAGTAAGGGAAGTCAACCAGAGAGTGTCTCCTGTCGACTCAGCGCAGTGAAGACACCGCCATAAGTCAACCTAAGCTATGTCGACTCCAGCTACATTATTCACATACCTGGAGTAGCGTAACTTAAGTTGACTTACCCCAGTAGTGAAGAGAAGCCCTTCATGTAGAAGGTGCCAAGGGAATCAGCGTAATGGTGCATGGGGGTTCCAGCATCTGCAGTAGCAGGCTCACAAACATCACAGGCATTTTCTTGGTACACAGTCAAGAGGACAGAGGGAGGACCAGGGTATCACAAAAACTCTTTAGATCTAATATCTGACCACAAATTCAGATAGTATAAAACGATATGTTGGTAAACAATTCTTTGCAACTCCTCATACTATCAAATTCATCTTTAGTACAGGGGACAATTTTTTTTTAAATTGCAAAAATAGTCAGTTCCCTCTCCCTGTTCCATTTTTGAAATACTTATACTTTAAGTGCTTTGTCAAAGACTTGTAATAAAATAAGGAGCCCAGATATTATGTCTTGCAAAGATTAAGATGATCCCCCATTAACAAGGGTATTGAATTCCAAGTTTTTAAAAGAAGTCTCCTATCAGATTTCCACTCCAGTATCCTCTTCCTACATATGGGCATATCCCATAGATGTGTGTAGGGAGAGGGGGAAGTATATTGCAGTAGATCTTTTGTGTTAAGAGGAGAATTCTGCCCTCTATCTGAAGAGGCAGTGTTTGCTAATACAACTGTTCAGAGGAGGAAAAATGCAATTTCACAGACTGCTTAAATAAAAATTGTTTAGTTTTAACAATGTATTGTGGGTCTAAGCCTGTGGTTCTTATACAGTCTCTCCTCTGGCAAATTTCCCAGGAAGTCAATGGGAGTTTGCCTTATTCAAGACTTTGGGATTTGCCCTAAAAAAATCAATACATATTTTAATCTCAAAAGTAAGTCATATTGTTCCATTTGAAATTTAGAAACAAGTTAGTTCTAGTCTTTTCTACAGCACATATACTGTGTAGTGCACATAGCACATTTTGTTTAATACAGTGACCTGTTACTTTGATCAATTTCTCATGTTCTACCTTATCAAGGGAAATTACATAAATAAATACAGCTCCCTTCTCATGCGGGAACTACACCACTTTTAGCATGAAAAAAAACTCTTAAGTAGGCTTAGAAAAATCCAATTAAGAAAGTTAAAATACTTGTACAAATGAACGTTCCACTATGCTTTATCAACTTTTTTTTTCTTCAAATGAACAAAACACAAATGAATTGCTTAGCTGATGAGGGACTCGTGGTCATGTCTTCTCTTTCCTGGTTTTGGGATGTGATATAATGAAACAAAAACCAATGGATATGGGTTAAAAACAGGAAAAAAAAATGAAGGAAAATTGTACAGATAATAACCTGCTGTGAAGAGGCAAAGCTTACAGTTTTAGGGACTTCATATGCTATCTGGGTCGACACGCCACCCATGTCGAGAATACCCACTGTCCTCTTACGAATGATAGCTTCCTTGTTCTCACTGGTAGGGATATGCACCTCCACTACTGCATCATCCTCTGGAACACAAAATGGATATCTGGCACTACTGAGAAATACATTTGGGATGGGATCTTAAGCAGTATCAAACTCAAAAAGAAAGAACACCTTCCACTGAACTGCTGTGTTGTTAATGACAAATTTTAATACTGAACATGAATCACTAGACTAGTCACGTGAAATTTAGATATCGCTCTTTGCGCAGTGCGTGACTGGTGTGCTCCAGTATGCACATTGGGCCTATTTGAAGACATTCATTACAAAATAATTATCTGGCACTTTACCGTCTCCCCACCTCCCAACCCCGTGTGTTGACAATATACAGGAAGTTTCTTCTAAAATATAATTAATATACTTGCCATCATCAATATGTTCAAATCGTCCCAAAACAAAATTGATGCCAATCCACGCATATACTCCTAGAAGCATTTAAAAAAAAAAGTGTTTGTAAAAATTTTAGGTAGTTTTTTTAAAACCTATTACAGTTTAGTCTCCCTCAATTATCTTTATGTTCATTTCATTTGTTAAACACATTGTATGTCAACTGCGTTACATGCAGAAACATTTATTTTTATAAGCATTCCTTGAAAATTTAATAGTTTTTGTCACCTAAAATATTCAAACAATTCTCAAAATCCTAGCTCATTAGTTTAATCATTCAGTAGTTCAGTCATTCTTTAAGGCAAGTTTTTAAGTAAAAAAATTCAGAATAAAATCGGAAGACCTGGTCATCTATAAGTAAGGCTATGTTTTAGCGACCTATCCATGACTTTTACTATATATTCCTGACTAAAACTTTGGGGGGGGGGGGGGCGAGGGGGAGAAAAATCAGCTCAGGGGGACAACCCGGGGGGCACTGCAAGTGCTGTAAGTGCTCAGGGGAGCGGCATAGGTGGGTGGGGAGGCTCCCTACTCAGCTCCTGAGCTCCTCCGCTCTGGCCCAAGCCCCGGTTCTGCAGCTCCCATTGGCTGGGAACCGCAACCAATGGGAGCTGTGGGGGCGGTGCCTGCCAGCAGAGGCAGCCCGTAGAGCTAGGAGCTGAGGGAGGGGAGTTCCTGTAGTCGTTCCAGGAGCCCGCCCCTAGGTAAGCACCCGCCCCGCCACCCCAATCCCCAGCCCTGAGCCCCCCCCCATACCCAAACTCCTGCTGCTGGGGGGCAAGACTGCCCCAGCAGCAGCCGGTGCGACTGGCCCAGGGGCTGCCTGAGCTGCTCAGGCGGCCCCTGGGCCAGGCACACCAGCAGCCGCTGCAGAAGTCACGGAAAGTCAAGGAATCTGTGACAAACATGGAGCCTTATCTATAAGCCAGTTATAGCCAACTATTATTCCTCTACAGTGAGCTTATATGTTTCTAAAAAGAGTACTTTTTTCATACAATCATAGAAATACAGGGCTGGAAGGGATTTTGTGAGGTCATCTAGGACAGCCCCCTGCACTGAGGCAAGGCCAAGAAAACCTAGATCATCCCTGACAAGTGTTTGTCCTGGCTGTTCTTAAAAGTCTCCAGTGATGGGGATTCCACAACCTTGGAATCCTATTATATCAGACTCTGGCTGATGTCAAAAATAAGAGAAAATGGACACACATGCCTGACAGCTACATAAGGAGGCATTCATTATTTCTCCTGATTTTAGAGGACATTTTTCATACATTATTGGGGCATTTTTTGCTTTTGACCAGAATGCAAAACAGTTGCTGTTGAGATATAAGATCTCTTAACTTACCAAGCATTTGGACAAAGAAAGCAGCCAGAAATAAAAAGATTTTAACAAAACGGGACTGGAAAGAAACAAAAATATTTTAAAATGGTTTTCTTCTACAGCATTAACTTACCTTCTTGTTTCCCTGAAATAACTTCTGCATGAGAGTCCGAAAACAGAAAATCAAAATGCACAGGAATATCAGTGAGCAGATCTTCTAGTATTGCCTTCTGCTGGCTGCAAAATTACCAACATTTTGAACAACGGTTAAACTACTCAAAGCACTAGGATCTTTAAACTAAATATTGAAAGAAATAAGGTACCAATTCACCTCTCAGGCAGGATTCTCATCCCTGCAGTACAGAGGATATAGAGAGGAGTTTCTTTGTGTTTTGCACGGGGCACGTGTTCTGCCGCGAAGTTCAGAAGTGGAGAAATATAATCGCTGACTCTTTCAGGAGAGCTAGCAAACTCTGAAATGCCTAGAGAAACAGACAGATGAATGAGGAAGTGCCAAGTGTAAGGTAACAGCTTCTTTCACATAAAGCATCGAACTTGACTTTAAAAAAAAAAAACTAACACAGGCTTTGAAGATTTAAAGTAATTATTTTTTACATAAAGTCAGCTATTTGCAAATGCTAACCAGTTTTGTCAGAAAAGGGCTCACAATCAGTTAATGTGTATAAGGGAATTACTTAAAAACTAAAAAGACTTGCTCTACTAATAACTTTCCAGCTAACAGCAACAGAGGGTCCTGTGGCACCTTTGAGACTAACAGAAGTATTGGGAGCATAAGCTTTTGTGGGTAAGAACCTCACTTCTTCAAAAAAAACAGGAGTACTTCGGTATGCATCCGAAGAAGTGGGCTGTAGTCCACGAAAGCTTATGCTCTAATAAATTTGTTAGTCTCTGAGGTGCCACAAGTACTCCTGTTCTTTTCACGGATACAGACTAACACGGCTGCTACTCTGAAACCTGTCACTTCTTCAGATGCAAGTAATGGAAATCTCCAGAGGCAGGTATAAATCAGTGTGGCGATAACAAGGTTAGTTCAATCAGGGAGGGTGAGGTGCTCTGCTAGCAGTTGAGGTGTGAACACCAAGGGAGGAGAAACTGCTTCTGTAGTTGGATAGCCATTCACAGTCTTTGTTTAATCCTGATCTGATGGTGTCAAATTTGCAAATGAACTGAAGCTCAGCAGTTTCTCTTTGGAGTCTGGTCCTGAAGTTTTTTTGCTGTAAGATGGCTACCTTTACATCTGCTATTGTGTGGCCAGGGAGGTTGAAGTGTTCTCCTACAGGTTTTTGTATATTGTGACTGTCCAGTTTGGCCAATGTACATAGCAGAGGGGCATTGCTGGCATATGATGGCATATATAACATTGGTGGACGTGCAGGTGAATGAGCCGGTGATGTTGAAGCTGATCTGGTTAGGTCCTGTGATGGTGTTGCTGGTGTAGATATGTGGGCAGAGCTGGCATCGAGGTTTGTTGCGTGGGTTGGTTCCTGATCCATCGTCTACAGCTAAGCACTGAGGTACAATCGCATCTGCTCCAACCCCTCAGACAGAGACCAACACCTACAAGATCTTCACCAAGCAGTCTCAAAACTACGATACCCACACAAGGAAATAAAGAAACAAACCTTAAGCATATTCTCACCAGCAACCACGCACTGCACCATAACAACTCTAACTCAGGAACCAACCACTGTTTTAAAAGGATGTACATAGGTTGGTTGGTTGTATTCCAACTGACCTTTTAGGCAGCAGGAAACAGTTTTTGATTTTGAAGTTAAAAACCCTATTTTCTCATGCAAACCGAGCATGATTATTTTTATGATTGGAGACGGGAACAAGCTACGTTATGACGACATTTCAAAAAGCTTAATTTTCAGATGTTCTTTAAATTACGATAATTTTCATGAAATTGCAACACTGTTCTATTTATTACTCTGAGGTCCTTATAAAAGGCTGTTTATTAAATACACCTAATTATTCAAATATGCCTAAAGACCAATTGTATCTACTGGACTCCAAAAAAAAAATCAAAAAAGAAGTCAGCTCTCTTCTGAAAAATGAAACCTTGGGTTTTTAATATGAATCTTGAATACTGTTTTGGGTTAGATAGTTAGCTGTTTAGAAAAAATTACTGAACATTAGGGTTTTTCATACCTGGTTTAATTTTCATAACCACTGGTTTTCTGTTTTTGTCCCTCATTTGTTTGATGTCCAACAGATCATGCGGGTTGCCATTGTGTCTTGGCCAACAATACACGAAGATCCTAGACCCGCTGCTACCACAGTCTACCACGATGCCATAGTTCAGATTGGGATTGCTGGTATCTGTAGCTTCAGTGTCAGTCACTCGAGCAAGGTATCTAGAAGAAAAAGTGGCTAAAGTCTATTGGGAATAAGGTTTTGTTTATATATTTGTATTACAAATGTGATTTGATATACCAGACTAAAAAATATCAACCACTTTTGCCTTCTATTAAAGGACCTCACAATTTTTTACAAACATTAAGGCACACAACACATTGTGAAATTTGTAAGCATTATCTTCATTTTACACAGGGATAACATGAAGCACAGAAAAGAGAAATGTCTGCCCAAAATCATCCAATTGCTGGTGGCAGAACTGGAAGTGGAAGCCAGGAATTCCTGACTCCCAGTCAGAAATGTTATCTACTACACAACACTTCTCCTTCCACCTTTTATATGTGGGGATAAGGACAAATCAAACATGCTAAATTATTAACTATTAAACTTTCCAATAAACTAAAAGCAATTTTAAGTGAGGAGAGGTACTTCTAAAGAGAAACACGAGTGAAAAAATTTAAAATATAACTATGCAACATATAGACATTCACATACAGTTGATTCCCCTTATTAGCAACCTCTCCGTTGCCAGCAATGAGTTGCTATTATCTGAAGGTTGTCAATAAGCAAAAGACAGATGTGCAGAGCTACAACTAGGGGAGGAAGCACTGCGACACGCATGATATGTCTCCCTGCAGCCCTGCAAATATGCCTATGGTTGGGAGGGGAGGCTGTGGACAAGGCAGCAGCGGGGAGAGTTGTAAGGCTGCAGCCAGGGAAGGCACGTCCGAGTGCTTCCTTCCTTTGCTGCATCCCTGCAAACCTTCCTGAAGCTGGGGCTTGGCACATCCCTGCACTTCCTTCCTGGCTGCTGTCCTGCAAACCTGCAGCCAATGAAAGAAGCACTGGGACATGCTGAGCCTGGGTTCCCGGTATCACAGCAGGGCACAGCCTGGAGAGGACAGGCAGGTACCGTGCAGCCTCTCGGGCCCATAGTGATCCCGCTACCTGTGGAAAGCCCCTGCAGCTTCCCCTTCCAGCTGCAGGCAGGTTTGTGGGACTGCAGCCAGGGATGGCATATGAAAAAGTTGTCAATAAGTCACATGCCTGTTGCCAATATCTAAATCCCATTAACATTAAAGGCACTGGGACAGGATTGGTTCCTGGCAAAACGCTGCTATTACCTGGAAGTTAATATCCTGATTGTTATTAAGTGGCATCCATTGTATATGTAAGAGAGAGAGAGATAAACATGTACAATTGTCCAACAAGCTCAAGATAAGAGTACCAAAAAGATATAGTATATAAAAAGTTCAGACCTCACTTATAAGCTTGTTTAGGAGTTTACACCTTTGCCTTCAAAATACAAAAATCAACAAATGTGAAATTACCCCAAAAGTGATATACAAGGTTTGGAGAGAGGAAAGATTACTCCAAGACTGATTTCAGTGAGCAGCATCTTACATAAAATGCTTTCAGTCAATTTATTTTTCCATTTTGTACACACCAGGAGATCCAATCACTACTCACTGGTTCAACTGTTTGAAGTGATCAACATGGAACCCCTGAGTTATGTTCATTTCCTGTCCTGAACATTATATTAGTCCTCACCTGTGAAACTTTTTATCCCTGTACGAACGCCCATATTTATTCCGGATGACAAGGGAATAATAAAGCAAGGAGACGGCAGCAGAAAGTATTCCAATGACAATAATTTGTCGCAAAGTGGTGTTCAGTATACGAGGACACCCCACTGGGGAGATGCTGAAGTGCCAGGAAGCAGGAAACAAACAGGAGATGCTGATCCTGAAATTCATAAAGGAGACAGACTGCTTGAAATGCATCCTAACAGCAGGGAGCTAAGCCTTCCCAAAACTGGCTAAGAATTTGAACAAATACTTAAATGAACTTCCAACTTTAAAGGTACATACAAAGGACCTGCTCCTGTTCCTAATAAAATTACACTGAACTCAGTGGGATCAAGATTACACCCTGAATGCTCAAAGCTAGAAGAATTATTATCACAAGTTTAACAGCCAACAAACACCTTTCTGTTGGAACATGCATCCTACAATTTCAGTCACCAAACAGATCTTTTTTTCCCATCTTTAACTACCAAAATCTTAACGTCGCATAGGCCTCCAACTCAGGTTTTGCTTATGTTTCAATGACATCCAGTGTTAACAGAGGTGAACAATAATTGCCTTTGTAAATTGCAAACGAGCTGGAAACCCAAATACTTTGGCACTATGATAGTACTTAAGAATTAGGTGATGAAACTGAGTATTAATCAAACAGCCTTACTTCCCTGTAAAAGCAGAGCAAAAATGAAAAACCCAAAGACACACAGTAAGTACTAAGTGAGACTTACAAAAAGTAATCTGATGTGATATTAGCAACACAAGTAAGGAAATGGAAACATTTTCCCCCCTCTCAGATTGTCACAATGATTCTTAGGCAAGTGTTTGACACGTGCAGCATTCTAATCCACTACACAAACTTTACAGTTCTGCAGTTCTGCTTCAGAAGTCATGCATAACAAGTTTTAAAAGCTACGCAACAAAAGCTTCTTTCATAAGGCTCATTAGCACAAACATATCAGAATGAGTTTTGAGTATAAATCTGTTAAAACCCTTTCTGATAAGAACGGCCATACTGGGTCAGATCAAAGGTCCATCTAGCCCAGTTTCCTGTATTCCGACAATGGCCAATGCAAAGTGCCCCAGAGGGAATGAACAGAAAAATCATCAAGTGATCCATCCCGTTGCCCATTCCCAGGTTCTGGGAAACAGAGGTTAGGGACACCATCCCTGCCCATCCTGGCTAATAGCCATGGATGGACTTATCCTCCATGAATGTACCTAGTTCTTTTTTGAACCATGTTATGGTCTTGGCCTTCACAACAGCCTCTGGCAAGGAGTTCCACAGCTTGATTATGCGTTGTGTGAAAAAATACTTCCTTTTGTTTGTTTTAAACCTGCTGTCTATTAATTTCATTTGGTGATCCCTAATTCCTGTGTTATGAGAAGGAGTAAATAGCACTTACATATTTATTTTCTCCACACCAGTCATGATTTTATAGACCTCTATCATATCTCCCCTTTGTCGTCTTTTTTCCAAGCTGAAAAGTCCCAGTCTTATTAATCTCTTCTCATATGGCAGCCGTTGACCCCTAATCATTTTTGTTGCTCTTTTCCGAACCTTTTCCAATTCCAATATAGCTTTTCTGAGATGGGGTGACCACATCTGCATGCCGTATTCAAGATGTGGGTGTACTATAGATTTATATAAAGGCAGTATGATATAGCCTAATTTGCATTTTAATTGAGCTATATTAAATGCCACTGTAATTACTTTCCTTTAATACCATTGTTTCATGGCACTCAATCTGTTGGGCTCTGGAGGATGGGGTTACAGTGCAAGTGCTTTATAATTCTAATACCTCTATTCTACATTTAGTCTTAGCTTTGCATAATCATATTCTGCAGAAATGTGATCCAAGACTCATCACTTTTCATTTTCAGAACAGTTTCCAAATAACCAACCAATTAATCCTCAACATCTCTGTGAGGTGGGAGGTATCGTCCGCATTATAGAAATATGGGGAAAAAAAGAGGTTGAGTGGATGCCCAGATTTAGAGGCACTCAAACCTCAGAGCTGGGATCGGAGTTCAAGATTTCTAGGGTTGCAGTCCTCTATTCATCATATTGCAACTCTATCTGTTTGATATTGAGGATTAGTTTCAGAGTCTCACCTTCCCATGTTGGGATATTCTGATCAGGGCAGGCAGGCAAATTAGCTTATGTTCTGGTATCATCCAGACATCCCAGATTTATAAGGCACATGGATCCTCCCCAGAGCCATTGTTCTTCTATTCCTGTATAAAACAGAATTTAGTTATGTTAAAAAAGTGATATTCTCACCAAGACCCCAATCCTGTAATTCAGGAGCCCGAATGAAGTCAAACATTTATTAGGATTAGGTTTATATACTCCTTGCAGCATATCTGGTAGAGAAGCTCATTTTGAGGAGTTTATCTTTAGCTCTCGTAGATCACCAACAGGGATGCCAGCCCCCCAAATACAAATAATTCCACCTGTATTCTTCTTGGGGATTTTTTTTTAATTTTCAACATTTCAAACACAAAAAGCAATAAATCCAGACTACATTTCATTAATATTCTTAAATAAAGGATTTCTTTCCAATTAATCCCAAAGCACTTTACAAACATAGACCCCCAATACTGCAACAGGATCTGCAATCGGTTGATGGGTACCCATGCATCCATATGGGATCATCTACACAAATCACACTGCAAGATTGAAGCCCTAAATATATACTGTATGAATTATATGCATGGATCACTTACCCCTGAAATGCAACCACCAATGAGATGGAACAGCAGCTGTAACAGTACACAGCAACACCATATAAAAAGCTCAAGATGGATGGTGCTGAATAACAGTGAATCAAGTTGGAACTGCAGGGAGAATGTAAGGACAAAATCTGAATCATTAAATTGGAATTTGATCCACACCAGCATTAACACTTTTCAACAGAGAAAACCTACCAGTTTACAAAAATTTCCGATATGTGATTTTTATCTACTATTGTTAAAAATAACACAACTGAGGGAAAAGAAAAAAAAAAAAAAGATGACACTTTTTTCAGTTTACTTTTCCATTTGACAGCACCTTTCATATAGTCAATTTCATTTCTGTGTGGGCTTCAAACAATAACAATGGAAAGAAATATTAAAACCATGTAAATATAATTCTGAAACCACAAATTGCCAGGGAAACTGTCAGGCATATGTAATATCGGACTTCTTTTGCTTTATATTTTTTAAGCTTGTCTAGGTTTCATATTGGCAATGTTCCTTCATTAAATAAGTAAAAAGTTACTATTTCAAAATAATTTTGGATGTAGGATTCTTATTTATGGTCACACATGCCCACTTTTACTTGAACCATCATCTCAGTCAACAACTATGTAAATCCAGATTACAAATTAAAAAAAAGCAGTGGAGTTTCTGAACAAACAACAAAAATGATTAGGGGGCTGGAACACATGATTTATGAGGAGAGGCTGAGGGAACTGGGATTATTTAGTCTGCAGAAGAGAAGAATGAGGGGGGATTTGATAGCTGCTTTCAACTACCTGAAAGGGGGTTCCGAAGAGGATGGATCTAGGCTGTTCTCAGTGGTAGCAGACTAAAGAACAAGGAGTAATGGTCTCAAGTTGCAGTGGGGGAGGTTTAGGTTGGATATTAAGAAAAACTTTTTCACTAGGAAGTCGGTGAAGCACTGGAATGGGTTACCTAGGGAAGCAATGGAATCTCCTTCCTTAGAGGTTTTTAAGGTAAGGCTTGACAAAGCCTTGGCTGGGATGACTTAGTTGAGGATTGGTCCTGCTTTGAGCAGGGGGTTGGACTAGATGACCTCCTGAGGTCCTTTCCAACCCTGATATTCTATGAAGTAACGAAGAACTATTTTTGAAAGAAGTTGTGAGACCTGGATCGCTAGATGCATTTTCTCCCTCAGCTCAAAAATCCACATAGCAAATGCAACAGACACCATCACTGCCTTGAATATGTGTTTTCAAAATGACACATCAGCCAGCCTTAATTATTCTATCAGATATGCTGTAAAACAAAGATGCTACAAGACATTTTGAGAGTTAGGTTAGAGCAACAGGCAATCCTCTGTTAGTGCTGCAGTCAGTAAAACGGTGTCCTTCAATACTGTGGAAGCTTGGAACTATCAATATTTCAAGGTCTGCGTGGCCTTTAGCAATGGGAGGCAGATAAGCGTTACTGACCCAGATGACAGAATTTAAATTCTGTATTCAGAGAGGGTTTTTTGTTTGTTTTTCCCTTTGAAAGAAAGTAACATGGTGCAAACCTATAGGATTACAGTGCAGTGTATGGTTTGATTAGCAAGTTAAGGACAGTTTGATTAGCAAGCTCAGGAACATTAGTATTGCTTAGGGCAAGTGAACACTACCACACTACTTTGGTGTGGTTACCCCAATGCAGCTGCACTTCTATAGCACATCTGGTGAAGACATGCTATGCTGACAGGAAAATGCTCTCCCATCAGCATAATGACTCCACCTCCACAAGAGTGTTCTTTTCACACCTGAGCGAGGTAAGTTACATCAAGACCAGCCCAAATAAATAGGATAATAATGCCAAGCTCTCATATAGGCCTTTCCAACATTTTCACAAGCAACAGCTATAACGGTCACTCCTTCCATCACAGGGAAGGGAAGGGAAGTGACTGGCCCCAGGTTGGTCACATAGTGAGCTGCAGAGCAGAATCAGGGCAGACCCCAGCAGGCTTCGCTCCCAGTGCCCCTCCCCCCGCCCTAATTCCCTAGACCTCACTCCCCTCCTAGACTCAGGATGAGAACCCTAGAGACCAGATTTCTAGTTCCCTCCTGCTATAACCCCCACACCCCATCAGAGAACTGGGAAAGAACCCGGGAGTCCCAGCCCCCCTTCGTCCCACTGCTTTCCCAAGCCCGGGGATGGAAGGAACCCAGGCGTCCGGTTCCCAGACCCTTGCTCTAACCATCGGACCCCAGCCCCGCCCCGCCCGGCGCTCAGGTGAGGGAGGAGAACCGAGGCAACTCCTCCCTCCTCTCCCGGGGCCCACCCGACCCCACCGCCCATCCCCGCAGCCCCGACCCTGCTCGTACCTGCTGGTCTCGCTCCGGCTTGGCTCGGCTCGGCCCCGGTACCACCGCGGCGCATAGCGACACCTCAACCATTCCCACTTCCGGGTCCCGCATGCCGGACGTGACGCAAGCACGCCGGTAAGCCCACAAGAAACTAAAGGGAGGGGGAAAAGAGCAATGGGCTGGGCTAAGAATTGGTCTGCGTGGGACTGGGGGCGTGGCTAACGGCTGGGGCGGGGCTGAGATGGGGGCTAGGTTAGGGCAACAAGGCATGATGGGAGTCTGGCTAAGGCAAAGCATCACGGGAACTAGGTGTGAGCTGGAAGCCTGGCTAAGGTAAAGCATCATGGGAGTCTGGCTAGCGTCAGGTATGCTGGGAGCCCCTGGCTAGGAGTGGGCTGAGAGCATGGTTAGGGTCAGGTATAGTGAAGGCTTAGTTATGGCAGGGCAGCTGCTGTGTAAGGGATCCAGGCAAATAATTAAGTGGATATTTAACTGCCCCTCATGTGGGGTTCATGCTGGGCCAGCTGGGGATGCTCACTGACCTCCCCAATGTATATATATTTAGCTTTCTAGAGTATTGAACCATTGCAGATTTCCATCATAATTAAAATTAACAATTAACACAGCCCCTTTTTAAATGCAATGTTTATTTTGTTGCACAGATACTAAAGGTTTTTCTAGCTGCATGTGCATTAACAGACCACTACTGTATTAATATCTGAAATCTTTGGCACTACTTATAAACGCTCTACACACTTAGGAATCAGTTCTATAACTTCACACCTAGGGCACTGCACACATACTGTACTGGTAAGCCCAAATATTTAAAAATCATCAGTGTCGGGACCCAAAAAATCATGAGATTGGTTTTAAAATCATGAGATTTTTAAAAAATGGGCTTCTGTTTATTTACCTTCTGGATTCTGGTACTTTGATCACATTTTCAAGCTTTTCTGTACAACCACGGTGGCTAGAAATGTAATGGTGTTTTTAAATGAAAACTGAGATTCTCACATAATCACTCCACTCCAGGAACTGGGACTTTAAGAAAAGAAATCAAATATCACACAAGACTCCTCAAATGTTGCAGGCTGGCGGCACTGCACTTATAAAAACATTGCACACTTAGGGCCTGATCCTGCAACCTTCACACTGAGGGCACTGTGCACTTTGAAGAACACTGCAGGTAAAATCCTGGCCCCATTGAAGTCAGTGAGAGTTTTGCTATTGACATTAGTGGAGCCAGGATTTCATCCTGCATGCTTTGGGCCTGAGCCTACAAACACTTCCACATCGGAGTTGTTTTTGTGGGGATGTATTTGCAGGTTTCAGCTCACACTTTTGAATGCTTTGGCTATCGATTGTTTTATTTCTGCATGTTGACTGACAGAACTGGAGCACCTTTCAGTCACAAATCTACATGTGATCTTAACAAAGGCATTGTCCTCACAAATGCACTTTTAAGAAGTTTTACTGCTTAGTCTTTATGAACACTTGGTATTGGTCTTTATCTGCAAATCCACCCTTGGATAAAAACATTAAACAATTTCACATGCAACAGACACGCAGGTAAATGTCAGTGGATGCAGCTCTATTGTATTCCACAGTCTAACAGATCATTAAAATGGAACCAAGAAACAGAACACTGAAAGACAAAGATTGCCACTGTAGCGTCTCCTGAGTCATATTGTCAGGAATGGTCTGCTAATTACATACTCCTGCCTTAAGTGCAGGGGACTGGACTAGATGACCTCTCAAGGTCCCTTCCAGTCCTACACTTCTATGATTCAGCCACTCTACCTGGATCAACAGGCCTTTTAGTGAGTCTTTCAATTAACACCGGACCCATCACATATGTCTGAGTTGCTAATAGCATAAAGTTCACAGCCCTGACTGGAATGTATCTGATAAAGTGTGTCTGTTTTTCTTCACATCTATTTACTGGTAATGCCAAGGGCTCTTCCAGTCAGGTTGGGGAGCCTGCTAATTAGAAGAGAACTAAAAGATTTTTGCATAACATTTAAAATATGCCTAAGTGGAGATGCTGTTTGTCTTATTTTGATAAGAAATGACTTGAGGTCAATTTTTGTGTGAAAAATGCCTTTGGGTAATGTTAACATTTACAATATAAAATATAAATCCTGGTAAGGATTATACATGTCAACAAAAGCTCTGTATAGTTTACAGAATTATTTTAAACACTGTTCTCATATGGGTCCCAATCTGACAGGCACCTCCATGCTTAACTTTAAGTATGTGAGTAATCCCACTCAGTGGTTATATATCATGCAACAATATTTCAGTTCTCTGCTAATTAAATTCACTTGTATAAATGTTGATGGGATTGGGGCCATTATTTGGTCCTGTCTCCAAAACTGGCCACTCAGGACTGGAAACCATTTTATCTGGAACTTTATTTAATTGAGTTGAAACAAATTGATTTATGGGTTTAGTTGGTTCCTTTTTTTACTTTAAATATGAGGAATATCAAGACTCATCTTCCCTGTTTCTGCTGAAGGACTCATTGGAAGATCAGAGAACTGCAGTAGGAGCTTTTTCAGCCCTCATTGGAGGATATGTGGTTTTTAATCTTTCACAAAAGATGGATCTACACTAGATTTCTTTTTATATCTTCCACTGATGCAGCTCCAGTAGTGGTATCAGCAGTAGAAGCTCTAGTGTAGACAGTGCACTGGTGTCTAGACTAAACCTATCCAGATGGTTGTATAATGGGCTGGGACATCAGCCCAATTTCATCCTCCGGGCCCTGGTAGAAACCAATTTAAATGCAAAACCAAAATCCAGCCAGGTTGTGGTCATTAAAGATGCCAGTGCACTTTCTGTGTGTGTTTGAATATTAACTCTGCTACTAATTATTATTATTTTATTTATTATATTGCAGAAATGTCTAGAGGCCCAAATCATAGATTAGGACACCACTATGCTAGGCACTGTACAAACATAACACAAAAGACAGTCTCTGCTCTGAAGAGTTTGCAATTTAATCCGAACCAAATGCCAACCTAAATTCACTATACAATTTCAGATCGATAAGGGCTTCTTCACCTCTTGCACTAACACATTGTGTAGAGTGTTACTGTGCTGTATCAAACAGCCATCATGTTCTATTCCAGAGGTGGCTACACGTCAGTGGTGGATCCCTAGCTATCCCTTTCTTATATCCGAAGGAATTTGTGAGGTTTAATTAATGTTCTTTGAGATCCTAGGGTGGAAGGCACTATAGAAAGGCATTATTAACCTGCTAAATATGTTTTAAATTTACAACCAACATAAAACATGCCAGTGCTGACAGTTTTGGGGCAGTGAAAGGTTCCTTGACATGTACGCATATCATGTTTTCAGTCAAACACTGTTTCCATTCTTACCCATTTGCATGACTGCCTGGGGCAGGGCTGTGTACTCAGCTGCTTTTCCATCTTTGCTGGGCAAGAGATTGACACAGTGACCTCCCTCTGTTTTTTCTGTGGTGTCTCTAAACATGACATCCTGGCACTTTTACCCTCTTAGAGACACTTTGGCAAATCTCCTCCACACTTGGTCAATTAATATGAAGATTTCTCACTTCCCCTTGCTCAGCATTGGAGGCCATTATTTATTTCTTAAAGGCACAGTAACCCTGTAGTACACCTCTTACGGTTTCTTTCCCAGTTTTTTGCTGTTCACAAATCCAGGCTGCCTTACCAATGTGCACAGTCTTCCCCAACAGGGTCACCTGTAGACTGAGAGGCAATGCTGGCTGGTGAAGATGGGTATGAGAAATTGATATATAAAACTAGAGAGACAGTGTTATCTAGTGGATAGGGCACTGGACTAGGAGAACCTAGTTTTATTTTCAGTTTGGCCATAAAACTCATTGTGTAACCTTGGGGTAGTGATTTCACCATCTGTGCCTCTTTTTCCCCTCCAGCCCTTTGTCCATCTTGTCTATTTAGATTTATGTTGTTCAGGGCAGGGATTGTGTGTATGTGTAGAACATAGTACACATATGCCTTGCTCTGGGTTGAGATCTCTAGGTGCTATTGTAATACCAATAAATAACAATAATAAAAATTCCACTTAGATGCAGTTTATAGCAGGGGTTAAAGATCATAATGTATCTGATTCAAAACAGGGCAGGCAATGCTCACAGTACATATCTTTTATTGATGAAAAGATAGGACTGCCTTCATGGCCTGCAATCCTTGGTATCTCGGGTATGACTGCCAACAAGAAGGACTATGTAAATATACTACTAATACATAGAGAGAGACCTACCCAGTGGGTACTAGAATGAGACCCATCAATTCAGACAGACCACTGAACAACCATCAGATGCTAACAATTTTAGGATACTCCTGACATAGTCTGGAATTGAACCAATGACCTGGAGGTTGAACACCGTCCCTATTTTCTAAATAGCCACCTTTAAAATCATGGTGTAGCTAGGCCATTTTCTATGGAGCAACAGCAGCTCTTTAATCAAGGCTCTGTATGAGGGAAGGAATAACTTGTATGAAGCCATGTGGTTGCAAAGAATTTTCCAAAGGTTGAAGCCCATCTCCCTCAAATCTGCCGCTTGAAGCAGGACAGAGCCACATGCTGCTATGCGGCTGCTCAGCTCTACATCCTTCATGCATAAGGCATTGTTGCTCATTAATGTAAATTGCAAGTATGTCTGCAGCACTGGGTGCCAAGCAACGGTGAGCTGATAGATAGTTTTGTAAGGTGATACCTCATAGAAAGGATTTCGCACGTAGGAACTGCTTTGTTAAAATTAGTTTCTGAAATTCCTCCCAGTCAGTCACCTGGAAAATGTCTTTTCAATGCAGATTCAGCACCCACGGTATTCATAAGAGCTTGTATGTATTCAGCAATGGTGGTTACATGAGGCCCTGAGTTTAGGACACATTAAGGAAGAAACCACCATATATATGGCTGTGTCACAACCTCAGCATCACTCCATGTTTCTTTTTCTTAGCCTGCCCTGCCCTGCCCCCCTTTGTTGGCTACTTTGCCATTTTCTCCTCTACCACCAGCCTTGCTTATGAGAAAGAGTCAAACCACAGTAAGGGCTGGGTTTGCACACAGTGACCCTCCATATGGTTCAGCAGCAGGGTTTGCACTGAGGAGCTTCAGCACTACAGCATTGAACACTACCATCTGAGCTAAAGGAGTACCATTCGGTGGTAGTAGTAGTAGTAAACTATTATCCCCTAGTGGAACAGCCACTAGAAGGGAGGGTGACACAAACTTTGCCATTATGTTACACCAGCAACCTCCTCTCCATGAGCGCACACATGTCCTCCATTGTCTTCTGGCCTGGTCTAATTCCC